TTTACTAGGCGCAGTAGCAAACATAGTAATTTCACTACTTTTGTATGCAAAAAGGAGTCCACATTGGAATGAAGTGAAATCTCACTCACATATATACTTGCTCACTAGACACGCAATCAACTGATAAGACCCACTTGACTATACCTGCGTGAAGATCCTGTCACTGTCGACAACTGGCTCAGCACCAAACTACTCCAGGGTTGAAGACACGTGTAAATGGGGTCCAGACTACAAAAGCAACGCGGAGGCGGAGGCTGATGGCAAGGGGAGATGTGTCGGTTTCCGGTGAGGGCGGGCGTGAGTCATAGGCCGACGATCCATGCAACACCCCAAAAGTCGTGCACCAGGCTGCACCCTCCCAATGCCTCCACGATCATCCCCGGATCACAATCTCGCATACGGCCGCCCTTCGCCCATCAAGTTCTTTGTTGTCGCCGTGATTGCGTGTTCTATTGTTTGCACTTTCACAGGGTGCGTGCCTAAACCGGCCCGGGGGAGGCGCAGCGTACCGCAAATGTCTCAGGTCGTCGCACGCCTTTCAAAGGGCGGCAAGTCAACCAGCAGAATCCAAGGGGTCCAAGGAAAGGTGTCGCGATGAGTTTTTCTCTTCGTTCTGCGCCGTTGCTGGTGGCCAGAGTGCAGCAAGTGAGGCGACGGGGTCGAGTGGACGGGCTGGATTTGGGCCATCGCTCAATCCGGGTCAGTGCGTCGTCATCGCTGGTAACGAGGGAAGGCACCGGCCGACCTGCGCGCATCAGTAAGGCAGCAACATGCGCGCTGCACCTTCCAGTGTCGCGGAGAGGCGGTCGGCAGCGCTGCAGTCGACACAAGCAAACTGGCTCAGTGATTGCAGCGTCGCATATGCGGGGTGAAGCTGGGGGAGTGAAGGGAAACGGTTGCGCATGACGCTGGGAGCCCCTTTTACTCACAGCAGAATCTTCTCGCTACCGGGAATCTGAGGCTAAGCCCCAATCGCCGCCCAATCCCTGCGACGTAGCGGGGCGCTAACGGCTTGGCACGAAGGCAGCCACTACTATAAGTACTCGGCCTCCCCCCCAACTTTTTTAACGAGATTTCCGCCGAGCCCGCCGTTGTCGCAACACCTCAACCTTCTACTCCACCATCGCCGCAGATCGAAAACTCACCTTTTCAACTGCGCGCTCTCTAATACTGCGACTCAGAAATCCCGGTGTGCCCTTTTCGCACATATCCACTCTCTCAGAGGTCGCGATCGGCGCTAGCTATATTCAGCCTGCGACAGCCCAACAGCAGCCTCATCCTCAGTCGCAATCTCGACTTACCCCGCCAAAGGCTTGCTGGCTACGCTTTTGGTCACTTAATCTACACACTAACCCGCCGTCCACTGTGACAGCACCACTCGACGGCATACTTGTCAACGAACGCGAGGGACACATTCGCTTGTAGCTCTCCTGCCTCCGGTACCGTCTCCACCTATCTCATAGACACACCCCTCCGGTGTCGACCGACCTCGCTCTATACCTCGCGATCTCGTAGTCCGCCGACTTGACCGTCGCTGCCGCTCTAGAACACACTCTGACCTGCGCAGTCTGTCAAGATACCGCTCTCCTCAAGAGTCTATCACTCCAAATCCAATCAATAATCTCATCATGGATCCCAACTCTCTCACTTCTCACCCGTCCACCGCCGCCCAGGCTCAGACGGTAAGCTCTTGTGATGTCTCCCATTTGTCAAATTGTTCTAACGTTCGCTCTCAGTTCGTCGCTCCTGGATCTCTCTCGTACCCCCAGGGCGCGAACCTCGACCTGAGCGCGCCAACCGCCGAGCAGAACACTCAGCAGGTTGCCGACAACGCGAACGGTGTTGCGACCCCAGCGGCTACTCCTGATACTCAGAATGGACAAGTGCCCTCTGGTATCGTGCCTACTCTCCAGAACATTGTCGCTACCGTCAACCTGTCCGCTCGTCTCGATCTCAAGACCATCGCTCTTCACGCCCGCAATGCCGAATACAACCCCAAGCGTTTCGCTGCCGTGATTATGCGTATTCGCGAGCCGAAGACGACGGCCTTGGTCTTTGCGAGTGGAAAGATGGTTGTAACCGGTGCCAAGTCTGAAGACGATAGCCGCCTTGCTTCCCGCAAATATGCGCGGATTATCCAGAAGCTCGGGTTCAGCGCTAAGTTCACCGTACGTCGCATCGGACTAAGTACGTATGATTCAATGCTAACGTTGCCATAGGACTTCAAGATTCAGAACATCGTTGGCTCCTGCGACATTCGCTTCCCCATTCGCCTCGAGGGTCTTGCATCTCGCCATCACACTTTCTCTTCCTACGAGCCTGAGCTCTTCCCTGGTCTCATCTACCGTATGATGAAGCCGAGAATTGTCCTCTTGATCTTCGTATCTGGCAAGATCGTTCTCACCGGTGCCAAGGTCCGTGAGGAGATCTACCAGGCTTTCGAGCTCATCTACCCTGTCTTGTCGGACTTCCGCAAGTCATGAGCACTCTTTCTTCCCAGGATCCGGCCTCAAAGAGCCTTGACCACACCACCTTAATTGGTGACATGGCTACGACTTGGCCCTTTCCTTCTAACTTGTCTTTTTTGCGGCATTGCATGGTGTTACGGTGGGCGGCATTTCCTTCTTTATGCCTTTTCAAAACTCCAAATTACCCTCGACACGATTAGACATCTGCACGCGGGGTGCTTTCAAACTCTCTTAATCCGGGTCACGAAGGCTTTTTACTCTCTTCTCTTTCCATTTACGGGTACGAACACGTCGGCGGGCGGCGTGAGGGGATGGTCCCAAAGATTGCTACAACGGGCGGAGGAAGGAACGCGAGGACGTTCGGACAGTGCGACCGTAAAAGCTCGCACCGGGAGCTCGAAAAGGTTGACGATACGACACCAGAGCTCTCATCGATGGAAGTGCTTCAAAGCATCCATCGTGTATGTGTACATGACCCTTGGCCTTGAAACAGGTTAGGCAGTAATGTTATCACGATCATAATGGTCTTCTCCACCCTCGTGATGTGATGTGACTGCATGTGATCATTGACTGCCCACCCGAGAAGTATGACCGTCGCTGCTGGATACCTATTTGCACCAGCGATACTATGCTTGGGTCATACTCCTACTCTGAACAAGCCGTCTTGCTCCATGTCCTCAAGGCTAGAAGAGGTGCGGAGTATCGTCTTGAACTGCTGGTCGTGATGGAAGTAGTAGACGAACCCAGCCAGGGTCATATATAGCCTTATGCTGTACGGCACGCGCGGCCAATGTATGGGTGGTCGAAAGCACGGCAGTGGAGGCGCTGTGCGAATTTTCGGGGTAGAAGAGGAGGTACTTGACTACGAAGTCGGTAGCCCGCTGCGGCGTCTGAACGTGGGTCGATGTAGCGCTTCAGTGGTCGAAGTGTTTGCTGGACGGCGAAAAGGTGAACGTATGCGGGGCTGAACCTGGTGTTTACGGTGAAGGTGTAACTCGGGGCCGGGTTGAGCGAAATGGGAAGAGATCGGGGACCTTGGTTGCGGAGCCAAGCTCTTCGATAGCCCCAGAGCTCGGACGACCTTGTGAAAGCCAGTGCTTAGGAAGTGAAATCCAATGGAGTGAATTCCTTTCCTGCCTGTTCCTCTTTGTCCTGCGGGGCTCCATCACGTCTCAGCGCGTGAGGCCTTAGGTCGGGTTTGTCGAAAAAGGCAAACGGCATGCCGCGTAGCTCGAAGGCTTTGTGGAAGGGTATCGATTTAGCTCGTTCTGTGTGGCATTTACGAGCGGTCTAGGTTTGATCGAAGATTAACTACACGGTAGCCCGGCGACTACCGCAGTCCGAAACCGTGTTGTGGTGTATTCATAGGTAGTCTTGGTTCGAGGCCACAGCTCCGCGAAAACATCCATATGATAGCTTCTATCATTAGCCCTCCAGTAAACCTACCGTTCAACGTAGTCACTAAGCAAGACGATGCGATGAAGTAGGATATGACTGAGAATATGAAGGATGAAGAAATCAAGATGTGACGCTGGACTTGTGAATAATCAGGAGAAAAACGAAAAAGGGAATAAGAAACACTGTGCAGACCAACGCACGCCGGGTTGGAACGGTACGCCTAACCTCCAGAAGCCCTTGCGAACGTGCATGGCCGTGAACGATAAGGAAAGGTTAGCGCTATACAGTACCTGGAAGAGTTGAACCACATTCCGGGCTGCATGATGAAGATGTGGTTAAGAAACTCGGTACAAACCTGATAACCTTGGCGATTAAAGCGTCAGGGAAGTACCAAGCTCGTGAGACATCCCGCGTTTTCTATTGAGTTCAGGCGTTAGAGGCGGCTTGAGCTGTTGCGTGTCTCAGCTAGCGAGAATAGACCGCGTGGTCAGATATGGGATCCTAGTCTTTGATGTTTCGAAACGTTTGTACAAGGAGGCTCATACAAGGAAGAAACTGAACATGTGCGCTGAAGTTTGCATTAGTATTAGAACATATGTTTATAAAATTCGAAGACAATGTTGCTTCAGGAGGCCTGTTTCGGGAGTCATACTTTGTCGAGGAGTCTATGTTCAATTAATTCCTTGAAAGGGGTGGTGTGGTAATTCTCCGAGCGTCTATGCTACGTCACGGTCGAAGGTATCGATGGAGGAACGGCGTTTCTGCGCTGGCTGGTGTATGGATGTAGAGGGGCAAAGAGAATCGAAGAAAGTGCCAGAGTAAAAGATACAGGTCATGCGTACTGCTGTAAGTCAGTGGACTCATTTTCAAGAAAAGCTCCCTGGAATTTAGAGGGTAGTCGCTGATTGTGTGGGAAACGAGATGCAAACACGTGGGCCGTGCGTCATGCATGCCGTTTGCGTCAGTAGCATGGCGCGCCTTCCCTCCTTTCACCAGCAGCCACCATGAGCGCATAGCTGCATCCTCAGCGCAGCCAGGCCATGTAGCCACACTTCACTTCTCTAGCTCTAATTTGTAATATCCTCAGACCGATGCCTACATTCCTTACGCCGAGCCCTCACCACCGCCGCCGCCATGCGCATTCCTCTCTTCCGCATCTGGTACTCGACCACGTACACCACCCTTCTTATAATCCTGCTCCTGCTCCTCGCCGTTACGCCCGCCGACACAATATACCAATCGATCAAATCCAAAGAGCTCCAGAAGCTATTTGTCATCGGAGGTGTCTACCTGTTGACCTGTCTGATTGTCCTGTTGATCTACTCGACGCGCATCTACACGAATAGGACTGTGCTTGCTGCGATACCCAAGAGCTATGTGCCAATCGAGGAAGGAGAGGTGGGAAAGGGTGTGCGATGGATGATTGTCAAGCATTTTAAGAGGAGCGCGGTCATTGCGTGGGACAGCAGGCCGAGGGACGTTCGCGGCGAAGTCGACGTGGATGAAGAGAAGGGCGAGGAGTCGCGACCAAATACCGCAGAGAGCAGAAGAGAGAAGCACAAGGCGAACAAGAAGAAGGGCCACCACCACCATCACCATGCGCCGGATGCGACAATCATACCTGTGTCTGCGAACTCGCCGCCTTGGGGCAACGTCTCGCATCCAGGCTGGGCGTCACCTTCGTCGCCTGATCTGCCAAACCTCCAGTACTGGGGCGTCATCTGCGAACTACCGAACCTCATCGAAGCGAAAGCCGTCTCCCTCGCACCGCCAGACCCAGCCCTCGAAGAAAGCGCCCAACAATACCCCGACAACGCGCCGCCTCTCCCAGACGCGCGCATTGTGACCCTCCTCCAGCGCCCACGCGCAATGGGCCTCCGCGAATACCTCGCCCGCCTCGCAGAATTCGGGCTACTCAACCCACCATCCCTCGGCGCCACGTTCCTCGCGCAATACGAATACGCACGCTTCTCCACCGCAAGCCTAACCGAGACACAATTCCGCGACACCATGGCCACTTTCGCAGAGATTTTGAACGGCATGACAGAAGTCGACCCGGCGGTTATCGAAGAAGCACGCGCCCAAGACATCGAGTCTGACACACGCAGTCTTGCGCCCACAGAATCAAGCTCCGAAACGAGCATCTCCTCGCACTCCCATCTCCCCTACCGCACACCGCAACTCGAGCGCCAAGCTTCGCTGTCCTCTTTCAACAGCTCCCTATTATCAGCCGATAGTAATTCGACTACGCATTCCCCGCAAACTGTCCGCACCGCTCCGTCACGCCAACAACAGCGCAGTTCCACTCTCTACGGTACACCGCGTACACCCTCGCAACGCTCGCATGCGGATTCTGGGTCGGAGACAGGCTCTGTCATAGTCCGTGAAAGGCCGCGCAGAAGTCCGAGTACTCTGTTGCCCAATTCGAGCGAGAGTTCGCTGGGAAGTGGAGGCAGTGTGATTCGCCTGCATCCTAACCCCAGTGAGGGGGATTTGCCGTACGAATATACTATTGACGCTGGGTGAAGGGGAGGGAAGGGGAGGCGTGCTGGGAAGCACGTTGATATTCTAAATACATACCTGGGAGGATCGAGTCAGATCCGCGGCAGCATGAGTATTGAGCGCAAGGCTCCAGACGCGAAGACGCGCCCGCGTGAAGAGGGAGAGAGAAAAGGCTACGACAGCGCCAGACTCTTGGGTCAAGGTGAAGACAAGCGCAGGCAGGAGTGGCATTCCGCGCGAAAGCAGTGTTGGCAGTGGGGCAATAAGAACACACACAAAGCTGAACTGCAGACATCAACTCGTATGAGCCAAGCTACGAAGAAGAAGGACAATCAAAGATTCTTGTATATATCATTCACAGCACATAACATTTTACTTATCATACCATCATGTAATCAACGTACATTCAACCCAACCTTGACTTTCATCAAACAATCATACATATAATGTAGTACCGAACCCAAAGTCCAATGTCATACAACATTGTATCGTCTTACTCCGCAACCCAAACAGCAGCCATACCCATACCAGTACCCACACACATACTCGTAACACCCACACTCTTCCCCGTCCTCCTCAACTCCGTCAAGAGGGTACTAACCTGCCTCGCGCCCGTCACACCAAGCGGATGCCCAAACGCAATCGCACCACCCTTAGGATTAACCTTCTTAACATCCAGCCCCAACTCATTAATGCAGTAAAGACACTGACTAGCAAACGCCTCGTTGATCTCCCAGATATCCACATCCTGCTTATCGAGCCCAGTCTTCTCGAGCACAACAGGGATAGCAGCAGCGGGACCCACGCCCATCATGAGCGGCGGGACGCCGACGATGGAGGCTTGCACGAATTTGCCGATGATGGGTTGGTTGAGGCGCTGGGCGGTGCTGCGTTTCATGAGGAGCACGGCGGCGGCGCCGTCGGAGATTTGGGAGGCGTTGCCTGCGTGGATGGATCCGTCTTTTGAGAAGGCGGGGCGGATTTTGCCGAGGGACTCGGCGGTTATGCCTTGTCGGACGCCGTCGTCCTTGGATACGGTGATGGTTTGTTCTTCTTGTGTCTTGGGGTCTGTCCATTTGACTTGTAGGGGCGCGATCTCCTCGTCGAAGAGACCGTTTTTCTGGGCCTCGACGGCTTTCTGGAAGGAGGATGCGGCGAAGGCGTCTTGCTCGGAACGGGGGATGTTCTTCGCTTTGGCCATTTGTTCGGAGAGTACGCCCATGGGGACTTTGCAGTTCGCAGACTCCTTGTGCGACTCGAGGAGTTCAGAAAACTCAGAGACGGCGCCAGGACCGTACTGTGTGCTCATGCTTTCTGCACCGGCGCCAATGCCAATTTCGATCATGCCGCTCTTGATCGCGTTGGCGATGTCGACGCAGGCTTGAAGGCCGGAGGAGCATTGTCGGTTCAGCGATTTGACGGCTGTTGTGGTTGGGAAGCCGGCGGCGAGGGCAGCGGCGCGGAATTCGGTTGCGCCGCCTCCTGGAGCAAGGACGGCGCCGACAGCGATATCTTCGACGAGGTTGGGGTCAATGCCGGAGCGCTGGAGGAGCGCTTTGTAGGCGCCGTGAAGGAGGTCGGACGCTTGCGTGTCTTTGAAGCCACCTTTTCCGCCCTTGGTGAAGGCGGTGCGGAGGGCGCAGGTAATGACGATCTGGGAGATGGTAGTTAGTATGGTGTTTCAATGGCAGGAATGCGTCTTCAGCTGAACGGCGTCGAAAGTTGATGGCTCGACTACTGTCGCATCGCTCAAAGACAAGATGTGTAACTCACGTCATCAGCCTTCTTCTCCAACAACCCCTTCTTTCCCTTGGAGCCCGCAGCCCCAGGACTCCCACTTCCACCCATGAGATGACCCTCGACCTGCGTAAGGCGTTCTTGAACTGTACAACCGTCAGCTAACTCATCCATCATTCACCAACGCCACTTCTTCTACTCTCACCCAACATACCTTTGTTAGGAGCTTGATTGGCCATATTGAGTACTGTCGTCGATATAGAAGCTGTGTAAAGGGAAAGCTGAAGAACAAGCTCTGGCGTGAAGTATATGAAGCAGCACTACCGTTCGGTCGCGGCAAGCATTAGGTCATTCGCATGCGAATCGCCGAGGTACGTTACGCTTCCGGCTAGCGCGTCTGTGGGGCGCGTCATCCGTTCCGGGGGAAGCTAGCTTTCACATGCTTCCAGGTGTCGACTTTGCGGGCGATTTGGGGTGCTTCACATGTCAGTGTGGGAAGGTTGCTCATCATGTGCGGTTCTGCGGTCCTGGCTGTCGTGTTGCTGATGCTGACGGAAGATGCTTTGTTACACGGAGCAGTGGATCTGTAGGTGATGAGATGCAGACACGGCATTCGCAAAAACACACAGACTCAACAAATCTCAATCTATACTCTTCAGTAACTCAGACAAAGTGGAGTATCAGAATAATATGATAATAATCCATGCGGCCATGTGAAGCCGACGACCCTGAACGCCCTGCTCAAACACACCCATCTAATCATGACAACGTTCCTCTTCACCGCCTCGCCTCATCTTCCTTCCAAGGATTATTCATCATCTGTCTCTCCAGCTCATCTACAATGCTCCCACGCTGGGTCTCCTCATACCCTGGCGGCGGATCCGACGGTGGCTCGAAGCGCTCTTGTTGAGTCCGCGGGCTTGACAGCGGACTTGATGCTTGTGGACTGGACGGCACGGGAGCCGCAACGACAGGACCGCCTACGCCCGCTGCAGAACCATCCATCGGCGGACTAGGAAGCGGATCCGGTACTCGGGCATGTTGTATGCTCTCCTCGTATGCCGGTAGGTCTTCCAGATGTACGTTGTTCATGTTCACGCCTCCCACGCCTCTGCTTCCGTCTTCCACATCACCGCCGCTCTCCCGCGCCACCTCGACAGCCTGCCGTAACCGCTCCTTTAACCGCTCGAATATGCTCGCAAAGTCGAATGCGCCGCCTTCCTTAAACTCCATGACGAGGTCGAGCTCGGCGTGCTGTGGTGGTATGCCGCCGCCTTGGACGGGCTGGATGATGGCTTCCCATTTGTTGGCGCCGAACCAGGGGGCTGTTACGCGGGAATCGGTTACGTTGAGGATAGGGACGGCGAAGGATTGGAGTTGGGGGGTTGGGGCGATGGGGAGGTAGATCATCTGGTGGTCACGTTAGTCGAATTCCACACGATGAGGTCAGTATGTACGTACCCGTCTGTTTGTGAGGTAGACAATACCCGACTTGCATTGTTGTGAGTAGGACTCGCTCGGACTACGCTGATGGCTAGTCTGCAGCGAGAGCGTGGTTCGGGGAGGAGACTGGTATAGTGTCTGTTCGCCAGGCAGAGGAGTGTACCCGCCATTCTCAGCGAGCATAACCCAACTAGTTTTGCGGTCAGACTTCGACTTCCTCATCTTGTGTGTCTTGAACCCCATGCTGCAATGCCGAAGTGACTATGCCCAAAGCTCCTTGTTACAATCCGCGGGGTAGGAATGCGAGGGGCAACACAAGCACACACGACAAAGCCAGGACAGGACGTTCAGGCAGAGCGGGAAACGGAGCGAGAGAGAAAGAGGAGAGAAGATACTAACTTGACAGACATGCTTGGAAACCGCCTTGCAGCAGACTTGTTCACGGATAAAGCGTGAATAGTTCGCCCACTCCCCAACTGTCAATGCAAGCCAGCCTTCCTTACCGCGAATGCGCTAACTGTGCCTGCGCGTGAAGCGCCCGCCTTGATTGTATCGGCCCGACTGCCGACTGCCTATCAGATCTCGCGTTGCGGTTCCCGCGCAAATGCGAGTGATCGGTTTAGCGTGGTGCGGTGGAGACGAACGGTGGGGTGGCTACGGTCGAGAATTGTCGGCTGGGGCTGGTCTGCCGCGGCGAGCGCGGTTGTCGCGAGTGCAAATGTGTGCACTGCGGAGGGCGAGTTGTGAACGCTGTATAGAGGGGTAGAGGTGAAGATATGTAGATGTATGTGTCGATATGCGTATGCAGCTCGGATGCGGTAGTTACGTGTTCCGAATGGGCTTTTCGGACTGGTGCCTGCAGTATGTAGGTAGGTAATGCAGCTGATGATGATCCCGTGAGACGGGCTTGCGTCACTCGTTGAAGGTGGAACCCAGGCCTGGAAGCATGGCAAACGTAGCGCGATATTGGATCGAGTGCACCGCAGTCATGGGCAAACAACATGCACGTGTTTCATAGATATTGTTCCCACTTGGGTAGGGTATTCCATTCGTAGCCGTAGCCGTCGCTGATCAAACGCCATAGTCCGCCGCTACAAATGCTAGTCATGAATCAATGAAACACAGTAATAACCCCAACAGCCCATCGCTGAATACCGAAGATACGAATAGCATGCCAACACCCCACATTAGTCGAGGGGAAACCTGGATACCCTGAGCCTCCGTTGACGCTAGGTCGCTGACTTCGCGTGTTTCCATTGTGATGTAGGCTCCAGGGTGCTCAGTACTTCCCTTTCTGAACTACTCCTCCCTCTCCGTAACCGTCCATCGCCGCTTAGGCCCTTGACTATGCTCGTAAACGTCGTCCAACTTTGGCGGCCCCCAGAGTCCGTTATTGGCCTTTGGGGCTACCTTGGCGCCCCAGAGACCGCCAGCAGAAGTACTCGGAGCGCTCTGTTTGCGGGTCTGGGCACTAACGAGAGGAGTGGGTTTATCGTTGACTTCACGCTCTTCTTTCGAATCGAGTTTTGTCAAGCGGTTGCTCACATCAGACGCGCCGTCCAAGTGTGCGATAGAGTTACTCTTAGATTTGGGGGCAGCTGCGGCAGCGGAAGTCGACTTCGGCGGCTGTGGATGCTGGTTTGAGAAGTTGAGGACCATGTCGGCTTCTGTGGCGGGTGTGCTTGCGCCTGACCACAATCCGCCTGATGGAGATGCAGCACCGCTTGTCGCACTCTGCGCAAATCTCGAGTTGGATCCTGAGCTCATCGTCCGTCGCACACCACCCAGTGAGCTGTTCCAGTTCCTGTACGGCTCGCCGAGTGAGAAGGGGGAATCAAGTGGACTGCTAGTCGTCGATGATCCTGTGAACCTTCGTCGATACTCCAACGATGGACTTGCTGTGATGGCTGGGGATGATGTTTGTGTCTGCGCGGATGGCGGTTTTGAAGGGTCGACCCCGGGCCGTAGATGGTCAACTGAAGCTGAGAGCTTCATATCGTAGGTATCTGACATGCCGGGGTCTGCTACGGAAAGTCTTCGTGTGTGTATTGTGGCTGGTGCGGATGTCTGCCTAGGTTCATCTCTCCGGACTGCCATGGACAGCGACGCCAGACCTATATCCATCAAAACAGGTTGGTTCGTCATGGCGCCGAGCAGCGCATTGCATCCTGCTCCATGAGTAATCAGAATCAGAACCAGCTCTTCCTCCTCATCCGCAGTAGGATCATCGCTGAAGTTGGGGAAGGGGTCGGACTTAGTGTGCGACATAGGCGGTGGCGTTAGGCGAAGCGGTTCCTTAAACATGAAGCCAGGGAACTGATCCTTTGGAGGCGCTGTGCCGTGGACCCTATACCACTCCATCATGCCCGCAAGACCTTTCCTGAAGCGCTTGTGCATTGTGCTCCACTCGTCGCCGTACTCGCCGCCGTCACCCCAGTTCTGTGGTGCACGCATGCTGTCCCATTGGAAGTCTACTTTGACGCAGGCTTCTTGGGCGTGCGCGACGTAGCCTCGTGGTATCGGGTCGGCGGGCGAGATGGAGTAGGAGGGGTGCGGCGGTTCGTAGACGCGGTTGGGTATCGCGGTCGGCTTGGGTGTCTGAGTTGGCATCGCCAGTGGTGCAGTTGCTTCTTTCGATGGTGTTCGTTCCAGACCCAGTGGGCCAGCGTAACTGCTGGAGCGCTCTCGAAGCGGCGCAAACTGAGCCAGACTGCTCATAGCAGTGCCAGCTCCTCTACCACCATTCGGTGTGCTAGTCCCCGACTTGTTTCCCATCCAACCTCCTGGGAAGTGGCCCTTGCTGCTGTTCGGGTTCGGCTGTTCTTGTATGTAGTCGCCCCTCCGCAACAGATCAGCTTTGGCGCCTGCCACCATCATGGTCGAGTTGGGCGGGGCCGTGATGTCGGCGTAGTATTCGGGAGACAGCCATTCGCCCAGGAATGCGTCGATGCGCAGAAGCACCCTCTCAGGGCCTGTGTGAGGCCGCGGCAGTATCTCGAGATTGGGGTCGGCGAGCGGCTCGAAGGTTCGGGGCTGCGACGAGGTCGACTTGGTGCGCGGCGCTTTCGGCGAAGGGACTCCCAGCGAGCCATTGGTGTCTTTGGAGGGAGGTGTCGGCACATTGAGCTGTGGCGTAGTAGGCGAGTGGTATTGCGAGATGCCGGCTGCGACCGCCGTGCTGGTTTGGACGCATCGCAGGAAGGGACTCGAGTGTATGATGATCTTGCGCTTCTTCCTGGGCCGGCCTTGCGCCTTGCCGTCCTTGGAGATGCTCAGCTTGCTAAAGTCGAGATGGGCGGGGTCGTTGGTGGTCGCATTCTTCGCGTCTTCTGCCTGCTGGATGTCTCGCTCATGGAGGAGGGCGGCTATGCGCTGGCCGAGCGCCTTTGCCTGCGACCATCCACCATACGTGAGGGGCGGATCATACGGCGTGGGCGAGGAAAGATGCCATGACTTGTCGGCAGCGTCGAGTCGGGCGCCGTGTCTGCGTGGAAGTTAGCTACAGAAGCGGAATGTGGAGCCGTCAAGGCTGGGTGAGACGGTACCTGGCGACAACTACGACTGCAGGACCCTTCGCCATGCCCCGCTAGAGATGCTTCGCGTGCGTCTGGCGTGCAGCTGTGCGACGGTCGTGTATGCAATGCGCCTTCAATACGAACAAGCAAGTCGGTGGAGAGAGCGATTGTAGAGGCTTGAAAAGAAAGCAAGGCTACAGCTGCGAGGCGTCAAGTGATGCTGCAGACGCTCCAGGGTTCACTATAACTTTGCGACCCTGCAGACGCTATGACACCATCGTCTCTCGCGCTGACAGCTGGAGCGAGCGCGAGAGAGGGGTTGGTCCTGTGCTAGACTGTTTGTGCTTGACGCCACACTGCCGCCTGGTGTTTCACTGCTGCATGTCGACTTCTTTCCCTACCTTCGCGCACGTGTTGGCTACAAGAGAACGCGTAGGTCAAAACAACAAAAACTTTGTCTCGCCTTCGCATATGTCATCTTGGTCCGGCGGCGGACTTAAGACGCCGGTGGGGCCGGGTAGAGCCCTGACAGCCCTGGAGCACGCCATCATTTTGCATGTGATCTTGATTCGACTAAACACGCCTACTCCAGATAATCTCCCTGCGTCTCCTTGTGTATAACGTCGAATAGCGGTTTCGCACTGAACCACCCAGCCAGCGAGCTTCCAATCGTCTTGTGTGTGTATACCGCGTCCTCCTCTGTAATCTTCACCGTCTCGCCACCCCGCCCAACCGCCGCTGCATCCGCCATCAGCTGTGATTGACAGCACTTCTCCATGCTAATGAACCAGAACACTGCCTCTTCTACGCTCTTGCCTACAGTCAGAAGGCCGTGATTTTGGAGCAGCGCGGCCTTCTTGTCGCCTAGACACTTTGCAATGTTCTTGCCCTCTTCCTCGGCCAGTACGACACCGTTGAACGACTCGTAAATGACGTGGTCGTTGTGGAACGCGCATGAGTCCTGTGTTATGGTATCGAGTTTGCGACCAAGTGCGCAGAATGTGCGACCGTAAATCGAATGCGAGTGTGCTGCGGCGACGACATCGGGGCGGGCAGAATGGACCGCGTGATGGATCATATAAGCTGCCGTGTTCAACAGTCGGCACTCGCCACCATCGATGACCTCGCCCTTTGCATTGACGAGAATGAGGTCCGAGGATTTGATGAGGCTGAAGGCGACACCAAACGGATTGACCCAGAAGGTCGTAGGGTCCACAGGATCCTAAAGCAATCAGTATACTGCGCACAACATGTGCTACACGACTCACCCTCAGCGTGATATGACCAGCCACCCCCTCATCAAATCCATACTTTCCAAAGATGCGGAAAGCAGCAGCCAGTCGGCCCTTCAGGTACGCCCGCTCCTTGTACGGATCGTCAAACTTTGGCGGCTTGGGAAACTTCAACATCTCAATCTTTCCATCTTTCTGGTTCAGACCAGGCTCGTTCGGTGCTACCGTGTTCGCTCTGGTCTCGTCGCCTGCTTGAGGCTCGATTGCTGATGGAGGAGACATGCTTGTATTCTTAGAGCTAGTTGAGTAGGTCTGATAGGTAAAGAAGAGCTTCAAACGAAGAGGAAGTAGCACGGGTATCGAAACAGCAGTAGAAAGAGTCCTCCGTTCCAACGTGCGGCAATAAACAAAAGTCGCGACGGACCAACCTTGGGAACCGCCACCCCTCCTACAAAGGCAACCACGACCTCGGTCACTACCTCGGAACTACAAACGTAAGCACCCTATCTGCCCAAGTAATCACCTGCGTTATCGGAACGCTTCCGATAGTCACTTATCCGGCGTTTAGCACGTTAATAAACAACGCGTGGTTGGTCGGCGACCGATAACTACCTAGGTAGATGCGTGTGCGGGGCGTGATGGGCGGGGCGGGGTAACTGTATCTACCGCCGCTCGGCTTTTATGATCAACTACAATGTAAGGTTTCTGGCGGTGGGCGGAAGTGGAAAGTTTCCATGCTTACGGTGGCGAGCGGAGATGAAATGTCTCCGTGATTATGGGTCCGGGATGAGGTGAGACGGAGAGCTCGGTATGCCTAGGTTTCCGAAGGCGAGGTTGAAGCTGGAGTGGATGGAATGAAGACACCGGTCCGAGGAATAGGCATGTATCTTGCGTGGATGGGTGTTGAGATTACTATAACCTTGACACAATCGCGAAGAATGAAGAATAGAGTGCTCCTTTGGTTCAGACTAAGGCCTGGTCTTGGTTCAAGCTGGTCATTAAAATTGTATCTTAGTACCTAAGTATACACGATTGGGGAAATTGAAGCTACTTCTAAAGAATTGTTCGGACATTCATATTACGGTCTACGTTAATATAGATAGTTGACTAGGTATCTTGTGTTGTGATGATTCTAATTTCTTGATACGTGTTGGTAAGATGTCTACCGCAGTACGAGAGTGAGATTTTATTTTACTTGGCCTTCGCACACCAGTAATAGCCCATATCCAAAGCAGGCAAGCTACTCAGATTATTATAAAGCAACGGGAACAGACACGAATATACTAGTGTTACGACTTCCAACCGACGCGTGATCTTATTTCTAGCTTTTACGACCACACGCAAGCGTATATGCCCTATAGAGATCAAGGAAGCGCCGCGGACCGACTATGCGATGTACAAGGAACATGTGAGAACTGGAAATGACATCTTTCGGCATGCAATCACGAAGTAGTTGAAAATAAAAGGTGCCTAGGAACTACCACTACTGCTGTATCTATCCTAGCACGAACTGATCTGAATGCTTGCGTATGCAGACTAGGTGCGCCATGCATGCGAGGAGCATACACCCCTACCGCTAATCCTGTCAGGTAGGAGAGAATCGTGCTCATATTATGCAGGTGAAGTATAGTCCCCGTTTTGGAGCTGTGCATGGCGTTTCGAGTACTAGACTAGTACCGACATCACCCTGCATCATGTCGTGGAACGGTGGAACCGGGTGACTGCGTTAGGATATGCATGTCGGTTCCCGTGTATTACTATGGAACCACAGATGCTTGTGAGATGATTTACAGCAGGATTTGGCAGTGGCTGGTAGTCATGCGTTACTCATGTATTTCTTTGTTGTTTTGAAATCTTCCTAAAGTCGGGGTTCAATATAGATGCTTGGTCTCTCTCTCTAACACAGGTAACAAGAGACAAAGAACGAGTAAATGTGCCTTTCCAATGTGGCTTCCGTAATCTTGGGGAATGCGACAGTGGCTTCCAGTGTCACAACGGTATGTTCAGTCATGGAAGCCAGAGACAACTTGAACATTATGATCGAAGTCGAAAAGATGGTATATCATCGGAACTGTCTAGTAATCGTGCTAGACGCATACTCATTGCAATGTGACATCTCGACAAGGTCGGAGAAGCTGTAATGCGTTTGGAACTCAAGAGAAACTCTGCGCCTGCCATCGAGGGCGTAACATTATTCCCTTATCGAAGAAGAGGATGCATCTTTGACTCAGACCAGGGCCTGTTCATGCTCCGGACTGGCCATAGAAGTCGTAGTTTGGAGTTAGGGATAATTGCGATAAGTCTATTGTCATTCTCCCTCATGTGTGACGTCCAATATGGAGAGCGCGTATCCTGACCTGTGATATCACCAGACATCTGCTTGACTCGCAACCACCGGAAACAGACTGCCGATCAGTTCTCCAAGGAACACTTTGCTAACCACACTGCGCAACCCCCACTGTGTCGGTTTCGCCGTGCTTCTCATGCGCAGCCGATCTGATTGGCTTTCATCCTTCTCACACTGAAATTGCGATGCAGGATCAAAGTGGAGCGATTTGCTGCATTGTATCTTCGATCATTTCGAATCAGACTAAAGATCCACTTGAAGTAGATCATCACAAGCGAGGCGACGTTCAGCTGAGCGTTCCGTGGCGCCACGGGAATCCGGCATGTCAGAATGTCAATCACGGCTCCCAGTGCCTCGCACTGACTGTGCTCGTCACGTTCGCGTGGCATGCATGTCTGCTTCAAACACTCCATGTATTGCCTTTCTCGCGAACGACTCGCGGAGCAATTATGCCGTCATACAGACGTAGTTCTGTTGATGATTACCCGGTGGGGGTTACAATAGACTATCGTGAGTATTGTGATCCGGCGAAGCCTCACCGGAGACTTTTGTCGCTCGACCGTTCACGGTAGCCGAAAAGTAGCGTGTTTGCCGTCGTGAGCACACTTGACACTTGTGAGGGTGGTGCAAATCAGCGCGGTAACCTTTGCAATGCTACGTTACCACAGCCTCCCACGCTTGGATGCTTCTTCTAACTTCCGTCCGATTGGGGGTATGGCTGCGCCTTCGTACCGTTTCGGACGAGGGTCCTGTCGGTCGCAGTCTCCAGATGTATCGTATTGGCGAGCTAGTATCGAGTCCAAGACGTCGCCGATATCTGGGTAGCTGCAGTGTCGCTGAGTGTAGCGCCATGTTGGGTGGTAATGCTCACTGCCTCCACTTTACATGGAATCTCCTCCTGTTGGTGATTGAAGAACGACCAGCAATGACGCCAGCTGCCCATCACTGCTTGTGGAGACGCTCTTTCATTGAGATTGCGTGATTGTTGAGATTTTTCGACACGCCTACTGCTAAAAGCATGTATTGCTATGTTGGCGTCAGCGGGTACTCTACACGCTGTCTGAGCTCTCCGAACCCAATTGCCTTACAGGACACATAAAACTGCAGATCCCACGGATGAATCAATCAAAAGAATTCGCTGGGAAAATGTTCCGGCTTTCAAAACACGACGACGATTAGCCGTGCACGGTTTCCGTACCGTGCTGGGGGAAGCTGTTGCCGGGAAGCCCGATGACCCGGCGTTCGAGCCGAATCTTAATTTCGTGGCTCCCAATAAGGAATACGGCTGGTGAGAAAGTGCCAAAAAGGACGCTGGTGGGACGCGCCATCGTCTAAAGTAACTAGAGTTGGAGATGCAGACAGCCTTGGAAGTGGAGGTGAGTGGAGGCCAGGATCTGCGGCTAGGGCGCGGGCTGGCGCATGACGTAGCGTGGATACAAGCAAAAAGCACACATTCCGAAGGACACGTCGATACAGAGCTCGATGCCAATCTGAGCAGCGAAATCAGCTCTCTCCCATTTCTCCTAATCTTTCTTCCATCTATCAGAATCTCTGGCCGCTGTCTTGAGCGTCGTCGAGAAGCGAATCCAACGATGCTGTCGCGGTTCGATAAGCGAGCCCTGCCGTGGAAGCGTAAATCGACGGGGAAGGCTAAAAGGAAAATGCCGAAAGCCAAAGACGCATCGACGACCTCTCTCCGAGGCTGAGGAATGGCTCTACTCAGATCCCGGACATATCCTGCCCCGATTTCCGGCAGCGCAATCGATCGACGTGAGTGGTGGGTCTGCCCTGCTCCCATCAGCTCTGCACTCTGCCTTAGCGGGCCGCCCATCGATGATGCTAGGAGCAGATCAATCTTGAGGCTTGCAGATGTCGGCGAGCAGCGATGTGAGTGGGCCGCTTGGCCCAAGAGCGGGAGGACCGTTCCTCCACCCGCAGATCCACCTGGCCTAATTGCGACAGTTCAGCTCTCGCCGCGGGCCATGAGATCCACACCATAGGACTTCGGTCAACCCCGCCTACTTCCTAAACTCGATCAACACTAGCGAGGTATCCCGTACTTCCATCTAGAGCCACGGCAGACGTGGTCGCCGACCATCCATGGAGCAGCTAACAGGCTGCTCGCTTGCAGGCTATCGTGGCTTGCCCACGCTGTTGAGAACGACATTGCACCCCAACGGCGGTGCCTGTGCTTGCCGCCTCGTCAACTACGGAAAGAGAACGTGTTTGACGGGAGTGGAGACGGGCAAGGCGTGGTGATGCAAAAACAATCATGGAAAATGAAACGCGAGACATGTGATATCTCACTCCTGCAGAATGCATGTCGTGGATGCGGTACAGTTACCACTCTATTGGAATCTTCTTCTCCGACAGTCTAGCATGGGCTCTGAAAGACTGCAGATCGAAGCAGGTTCTGAGGGACGGAGAATCTCGACCACGAGGACTCCAGATGACTTTACTGGACGCCATGGCATCGATGTGCAGCCTCTCAGCTATACCAGGCTGATGACAAAGCTCCCAAAACGGTACTCCTGTTGACCGGTCTTGGATAACCTTCACATAGATTGACTGAGCCCCGCTCCTTGCAGCGATTGTGTTGAGTCGCTGCGGCATTTGTCCAGATCAAATCGCCATAGCTCAAGCTTCCCCACTCCGGCTGGGTCCTTAGTTGCACTGGCTTGGTTCATTCGACTACGGAGCAAGCGCAGCCTCCCCACGTACTCCATACGGTGGAGCTCATGCACCATGCGTGCGCGTCAATGCACTCACTCATGCCAAAAGCGACGTACCAGACGTGTCAAGCTCGGCTAGGATGCATGATCGCCGACCTGCATTATCGACTCTAGGGCTGTCTTGAGCCATCCACAGAGCTCATCCTGGTTCGAGGGACTAGCTCATGCGCGTAGAGCTGTTGATACTCATCGGGAATACTCGC